CACTAAAAGCTTGGGAAACCAACTTTATTACCGGTAAATTTACAACATTACCGAAAGTAAAATTTTCACACATTCATAAATACGTGATAAAAATTTTATGTAGGTAACCGTTTTAAAGCCAACTTGTATAATTGATACTTATTAATGTTTACATCACATTACCTAATTACATACTTATCAACATTAAAAAAGAAATCTTAAGAGCAAAGAGAATTTTAATATGATCGATAAAAAATGGACTCAAATCGTTCGAAGAGTATATTTGAGAAACGTTTGGAATGTATACAACCCTTCACATAAATCGGACAAAAGCGCGATAAAAAAAAAACAGTCCGCTCATGAGTTTATAGAGGTAGGAAAACATTTTTCATTAACAAGATTTGTGTTAAAAGGCCACTTTTATTGTACGGTGTGTCTTAGATCTGCACAAGGTAGCAGCAATACATCACGACTATTTGTCAACGCCACACGTCTAATAAACGGTGGAAACCAAAGGTACGGCGGACGGCGGTGGTCACGAGACCAACACAATCACATTAACTACGTGTCGTAAACAATGGGACAATATTGCTCCTCTATAATAATATTAACATATCTAATTAAAATTTAAATATATATACAATAAAATGTAATTTATGACCACCGAATGAGATGACATTTTAAAGTTATTGCCATTATATTTTATACCATATACAAGCAGCTTAATTTTCTTAAGGGTAAGAGTTCTTTTTTTTTAAGTTTATTCTATTTGTATGACAATAGAATAAAACAATTTACCGGTTATTGTAAAACTCCAAACTGACATTAAATATTCAACATTTAACCGCTTAATATAATCTTAGATTATGTTCATAAAATCAATAATTAAAATAATTAGCGTGCCATGTTAAATCTTTGATAGTAAATTTATATTAAAACATAAATAAATTGCAGTATACGAGATAAGTTACAAAAGCAGAATAAATTTATTATGAATTTCTCAAAAATGACTAGTGAAATGTTCAAGGTTTGATTTACTAAAAAGTTAAATTGACGTTTGTGCTACTGACTGATATACTAATACAGGGTGGGCTATTCCAGTAATTATCATTATTATTAGTATATGGCGGAATAACAAACAAGAGCGTTATAATAAACTGTTGGTGAACTAAATGATTTATATAAATATATCTTTTCTTGCAGTTCGTAGAGCAAATTGATAACATTTTGCGGATCAACATGTAAAAGCTGTGCCGTTTCGTTACGGTCAGCGTTCGGGGTGGGAGGAGCAGTCGGTGGCGTACTGACGCCGTTGTGCGATTCATTAATCATTTATCACGCCCGTTGCACTATTTATTCTTTTTCACAGAGCGCTTTCCATAGCTCGGATCTGGGTCATAGGTAATGTTGACTCGTGGCCGATCGAATACAAAGGTGACACATTTCATGCCCGCATTATGAGACGTTTAAAAGGTTTTAGATCTAAGCTGATCTGACACAGCAGAAGCTCATTAGGCTTAAAATCAATATAGTTAAATTCTATCGATTTTATATTTATATTATTTTTTAATCTAAATATAAATAATTAAAGAGTCGCAGAGTCGCGAGTATCATTAAGACGTTTTACTTGTGATCCGGTAATATAGAATGGGATTGTATTTAAACAGCTTTAAACTGGCGCAAAATAATTTTCTTGATACCTTAATAGGGGTATTATTCCGGGTGCATTTATTAAGGTAACAAGAAAACAGCAACACTTGCAAATAAATATAATAACTTCTTTTTAAATAACAATGTTTAAATTTAGTCTTCGCGAACAGTAAAAAAATAAAAAAGCACAAGTTAGATTCAAATTCGTTTTGCCGTTGTGATAAATGTGATATTGGGTATATTAAAGTAAATAGCGACATGTTTGTGATGTTCCAATTTTGCTCTAAGTAGCTAATTCTTTGAACTATGCTTAGTGAGGATCTAGTACTATCGATAGTCGCGCCGAGGTGGCAGACCGCCAAGTTTTTTGATTGTACATAGATAAAATTTGGCATTCATTAAAATGGCGTGGTAGGCGTGACGTTTCGTCATCGCATCCCGCTTACGACGCATATTCGTCACATCTACGTCACGTGGCTACGTGGCCTCGACACGATAGACCAGTTTCAGTCACTAAAATATAACAAAGAATATTTACAGTGTCATACGGTTAATCTATAGATTATTGCGTAAGTAAAGAAGTATAATTTTGATTATTCACTATGCTATCGATTGGCCTACAAATAGTTTAAAGTGTTTACACAGTCACATAATTAATTAAATATAAACTTTTAACAACGTCACACTTGAGTCATGTCACATTATAATTGCATGAATCACAAAACAAAGCTTTCTTTCGGAGCAATTATAATTTGTATGATGCTATTGATAACAAATAAGGGTGATATTTAAGGCGATGAGTTACACATTGAGTCTCATTTTCGAACACTTGGCAAATTTGGCGCGAAATGTAACCTTATGTTACGAGCTCCGTTCAATTTACATACAATTGCTATTACCATCTGTAGTTTGTGTAAACTTGTATAATGAGCTCTAAAGCCCCGAACTTTGTGCGTAAAGCTTAAATACATCTGTCGGTTGCCTGCCGCTGTGTCTTCATCAAATGTCGTGTGACATATGACATTAACGTTCAAAACTTTTTACCAGAACATTATATAAAGTTCTGACCAAGTCTATTTCAACTTTAAAACAATTCCAGCTTCACTATCAACACCTTCCATAAATGCCAATTTCACGATAATTTTAAACCTTTTTGGATTTGAAAATTGATATGGGTAATTAGACGTAGTTATTCAAATCGGATTCATCCCACAAATCTGCCAAAATCGACAAAACAATACTAGACCAGAATAAAAATATCCATGAAAATTGGTAATAAAATACTTAAATTAATTACATTTTAAAAGAAAGTAAAATATAATCTACAATAAAATGAAACTAAAAACAAGAAACAGTTTTTTAACAACATTTTAACAAACACAGATTTTTCTCAAAACTATCATCATGTGGGTTGGATCTGGTTTGCATAACTACGTCCAATTATGATGTGTTAGCTCTCACGGTTACGCGTCCCTAATTTTGATACATGTCATCGATCAAGAGCGTTCAAAACGTTTAAGATTGCATCATACTGCTTGCGATTATAAGCCTCTTACGATTCTACAATACGTTGATATCAAATACTATTAATGTGTTCTAGTAATTAAAAATGGATTAGTTTAATACAATACCAATTTTTAATCATCATACATATATATTCTTCATCTTTTTCAACTATGACAACAATACAAGAAACATGTCGCGTAAACGCATTCTGTGTAGTGAAGTCTTTAGATCATAGCCTATCTGCGTATTGCACGATTATATATCAGTATAAACTCATTAACTCAATTTGGATCTGTTTTGATTGCCACTCAACGTCAAATAGGATAATTAATCCTTTGAAGAGAGTCACTATATCATAGTGCCGAATATAGAGAACCACGTTCTGCATACACAAGTAACGATCACTATTATGGCACTATACAATAATATGTATATGTATAAGAACTTCTTGTTATTTATAAATGACCTTTTAATGTAGGTCATAGAAAGGCATTCTGAGAAATTTTATTAGTGTGCTATTCCATTGGCATGGAATCAATGCACATATTTGCTTTAAAGCCATAGGTTTTATAAACGTACCAATTACTAGTATGAATGTATAAGAATGATAACAATGAAAAAAAATATGTGGTTGTTCTTGTAGTGTTGAGGACTATATTATATATTATTACGTTTCTATTCAAATTTTATTGAAAAGCAACTAAACTTGTACACTATTATACTTGCTCTTTAAAAGGTTATAAAATTTTTTTGGTATTGTTACAATCAAATTAATTTATCAGTACCTACGAACCATAATGCACTTACACTCACGGGAAGAAAGAAAATTTCGAAACACCGGAACGCGAATGTATGTAGCGATACGTATACGAATTGACCCAAATTAGCCATTATGCAAATCCTCCAAGACTGGAATGGAAAAATATCGGATATCCACATTGGGAACACTTGAAAAATGGTAGGTGCCGCAAAAAAATGGCTACCCATCCCTTAAATCAAGTTTTGCGAAACGATGAAACGTTTTAGTGTTTATCTCAGAATCATGTCACCTTGGTAACTTGGGTTTTATGGTTAGTAATTAATACGTACTACGTACGAAAATCAATGAAATTTCCGTGCGAAGTTTGGACCTATTTAACTTTAGTTCAAGAACCTTCCGGAACTTCGACGGCCGTACTAATCACACTATTCAGTTACATTATACAATATATGCGATTGTCCTGATTTAGATGTTTGATTCATAAACAATTAGTATGACATGGTTATATGTATTAATTTTATTATGTTTCACATAAGGAGGAACAATACAATGTATTGTCTAGAAAATTAGAAAAATATAAAGTTCTTATTGCAAGGTTTTCATGTTGAGTCGTATCAACTCTGAAATATGGGTCAAGTCGAGTTACGGTTATGTAGGTAGACCCTTAAATCGAGTTTCCACATGAATGGAACCTTTTTGAACTGCGAGAGTCCTATTATAATTATCAATTGGCCTCAATACTCACTCAGAACTTTATTCTTCAAGTAACGTTAGCAAAGAAAAGGCTTACCGGAAGGGTAACGGGGGAGGAGGGGGAGAGTTAAAACAATGGCCTTCCTCGAATGTCGCCGAGCCTATTTAACATTTTATTATGTAAGAACCATGATTTAGATTACACATTTCCAACTGAAAACTTGTTTTGACGGTAAGTTGGGCAATTGTCAAAATACGAAACAATTGTAGGATATTCCAATAACGTTGCCTACTTTACCGAAACGTATACTATTAATAATTGGAGATTTATTGTGTGATCATGTTGCGATATAGCAGTACACATTTGATTATAAATAGCTAATTGCAATATATATTGGTATAATGTACTTACAGGGCGCTGGACTTGGCGGTTCTGGACAAATGCCTATTGATTTGCTGGGGTCGTCGATGATAGACTGCGCGAGGTGGTAGTCACCCAACTTATGTTGGACTTGCTGGCTCACGCGGTCCCGGTTGCCGGTCACCTGCCAAAAAATATATATTATTGAAAAAAAATCTATTACAAAAAATAAATTTCAACTACACGCCGGAGAGATTAACATTAATATATCAAACAGTTTGGCTACAACAAACCCGCTCGTGAGGTTAACCAAATATAAGGTTAAGATTACAGAAGGTTAATTCTAGTAAAAAGTTTATAAGTTTGTTTAATATGCTTTGCAAATTACTTTGTTCAATTAATTTGAGACTAAATGCGCTTGAAACCGTCGTACGCAGCTAGTATGAAATGTTTCACTCGATTGCTTAACGCTTTCCAGCGTCTCTTGCTGGGTGAATTGTAAACATAATATCTAGGAATTAATATCAGTATCAAACGATGAGCTGTTACCGTGTTTAGTGCAACGTGCAGTTGGAAAACGTGAAAGTGACCATGTGTTACCCCCACCGCGTGTGGGCAACGGCTCACGGAGCCACGCCCACTCGTGCCCGCGTATGTACTGATAATAATAATCATTCATCGCGTATTCCCGGTTCGTGTATGACGTAAATAGGTTGTACGCTCTCAATTTCATTACCTTTGAATTAAAATATCATAACGGGAAATAATCATGTGCAGAGGAAAACGAAAAAAAATTCATATCATAGAGCCGTTTTTATAAAATTAACGTTTTTACAACGAAGGTTAATAAACCTTTCTAATTATCTCGTTTTATTTATAACTCTTTCATCCCGTATTGACCTCTTACTTGCTTAATGAAACAAACAAAAATATTGACATTATATACCGCCTCCTTACAAAAAGAGAACTAATAAGAAAAGATGTTTGTTATTTATTTTTATCAATAAATAAATATCGACATCACATACAATGCTCAATACCCGAGATAAGAAGCTGAATCCATTGTAAAATGGAAGAGGTTATAAATAAAGACAGATTAATGTTAATTCCTTTTCTACACATAATTATTATAAATGGTCCTTAGAGTATAAACTGTTATAGATAGACTAATAGATACAGTTATTGCTTAGTCTCACACGCAGTGCGTGCGCCCGCGGTCTGAATCCCACACAGTTGCAACTTCCAATGTCGTAGCTTCTTTGCAATTCATCTCACACACACCTCTTGGCTCACTGACTGACAGATGATTCACAAATACGATTCCAAGTATCTTTAGCATGAAAAATTATAGACTTACGTCGATGTTAGATAGGCCAGGCAAGTAATTTTTAATACAAGTAAAACTACTAGTCTACGCAAATTCAAAAAAAAAAAAGATATCCATGTCAATCTCCAACTATTAAGGTCGGTGTAAATGAGACGGAAGATCCGTCAAGCATCTTAGAGGAGTATGTGTCTTTAGAAAACGAATCTTCGGTCGTGTGTGCAAGGTTGATTGTCGTTTCATATATTTGTCAGTTCGGACGTTCCGCGACTTACAATTACTCACCGTCAGATATGCCCTTATGGACCATTAACACGAGGTCAGTAGCCAAAACAGTTCAAAATTGGCCTCGTGTAAATAGATATAATCATCATCCAGTCCAATGAAATATAAGTTTTTAATTACATTGGATTCTATTCTGTAAATTGTCCATCCCTATACATGTTGTCCGCACCTATATGTTCCGCCTCAGGAGTTTAAATTTACATAGAAAAGTCGCGGACAGCATCTAAATACTCCTTTTGGACTTTCATAAACGAGTTCATATTGCCAATATTTAAATAATTAAAAAAAGTGCCATATCAAATAACAGTGCATCGGACAGTGTTTACACAGGACCAGGAGAGAACAGTCGGATGTGGCCAGGACGTGTGTGAAAGAAAAGTTCGGCGGCCTGAGTCAACGTACTCGGGAACGGTCGACGGACGACCTGGGATTTCACCGCTTACTTCAAAGCCATAGCGATAACAATTGCGATAGCTATAAAATATTTTTGTATTAACCAAATTGTCATGGTTAAAGTCAGTCCTCTTTTTTAAATGCATAAATAGTGCCAATTACGTATGTAACTATGCATTATATAATGCACAAAAATAAACATCAACAACAGCAAGATGTGTGCGTTAATTTCTCTTCCTCTCTCTCTCTCTCTCTCTCTCTCTCTCACACACACACTTTTCAAAAAAAATAATTCAGAAACTAAAACTTACTTATAATTATAACAATTACAAAACATTTAATTATTTATTTAGAACAAACAATGAATATCCATTAAAGATATGAAACTTATGCGAAAATGTTAAGCTCTGAACATATCTTATAGCTATCGCTTTTGCTGGCTTTGAGTTAGGAGGTAGGGGGATTGGAGATTACGCCCGAGGGCGCGCCGCCCGCCCTAATGCAAAGGCACTGGGAAATCTCCGGAACATAATAATTTTAGGATAATTAAAGCGTACAACTAATAATGATATTAATAATAAATAAATCTAATAGGTTGGGGAAAAAGTATTTTTGCATTTTATAAGAAAATTCAAAACATTTTTAATAAAGTTTATTTATATTTAACTAAAGTATGTAGGTAGCATTTCGTTCGATAACTTTTTGCCATCTTGTAGGTAGGGGCATGTCTCCATTGCTGTTTTGGAGATTACGATAAAAAAACCGCGCCATTTCATTTTGATTTTGACAGATCTCATTTTGACATAAAAAAAAAAGGAATGAAAATCACACATTTTCCTTTATTGTATTCGGAGTTATCTTTTTTAAAATCCTTTGACGCCTTTCCCGACGATTTGATTTGATTTGGTACGAATGTAGCAAATGACTATAAGTTGCAGTATCTTCATTGTTTTAGATTTTGTAATACAAGGGCTTTAGCTACTTACTTTAGGCTCTAACTAATGTATGTCTTGCAAAGTCATTTAATTTTTCTTTATTTCTAGACACATATTTTGAATAACCATGTTCCAATAATGAACTTTCACTACATATTAATAAAGTAAAGAATATAAGATAAAACAGATGCCCTAAAAACGTGTTCCATTTATCTTTAGCTCGACGACCCCACCTTCCATTTTAACTAGGGTAAGCATTTTCAAGACTTCGCAAGTGCGTTTGAAGCACAATCAAATAATTTTCATTATTTACATAATAAAGACGTTAAAGATGATGTTTTATTTACAATTCTCAGTCTACACTTCAATCTAATCTCTTTTAAGTTTTTTTTAATCAAAGATTAAATTGAAAATATTTAGTTCGATATTTTATTATTTTACTAATTTGAGTATTTCAATTTATATTTTTGTTCAACTTATTTTGGTAAGATCAATAATTAAATTTACTTTTTAAAAATATAATAGAAGCATTAAAGAGTTTTTAAGGTTATACCTATATCAAAAAGATGCCAAAGTTGGTTATGTTTATTAAATAAATATAAATCACCTATCTGTCTGTTACAGAGCTATATTTATCAAACTAACACAATTTTCTCCATGTCAAATATCCGCTATCGATATCGAACTTTATTGTCATAAACGCGAAATTTTCAAATCAAATAGAGTGGAAGTTTTCAAATTAAAACTTGTAATCGATGGTCATTTCAAGTGTGACTACTCTATACGTGTATGAAACACAACAACCCTATATGAGTAATATTTTATCGACTGTTAAATATAAACAAATAATAAAACACTAGGATTAACGATACAGTTTTATTGTTTACGCCAAACTATGTAAGAATGGAGGTAGTTAAATCCAACACTTATGGCCCGGTTACAAAAACACCATTTATCCGCAGTTGAAAGAAACGATTCAGTAACAATATTAACATCGCTTGGGAAACGATGCTGGTAAGTCAACTCGGTCATTTCGCCGGTTATTATTAAATTGGAACGGTCAGTTCGTGCGTAAATATAAAAATTAGTTCATGGCTTTGGTTTAATTTACAAGAACGCCAACTTACGTTTTATTGCTTATAGCCAATGGCTATTAGTGATATAACTGATGTTATGTTACTAATGTAAATCCTTAGCAATACTAAGAGTGAAGTTGACTTTACGAGTTTAAGACAAATAAATATTGTCAAATGATTTAAACTGAGAAGAAAAGGTCAAATTTACGCTAGAAACACTTTAGAATAAACATTCTGACAAAGGAGAATACATATTTATAGAACCTGACAATTCAAAATAATTTCCATAATACGTAATAAAAACAGAAGACGTATGAAACAACCTTTTTTTTTAGAAAGCACCATTCACTTATTTTGTTTAAAAATTTAACTGAACCTAGATTACGGTAGATGGGTAGTGAAGTGCCTGGAAACATTTAATCGATTCTTGGTATGTTAGGTAGTAAAAACTAAATAAAAGTATGGACAATAAAAATAGTGGTAATAAAAAATAAATTTAATCAGAGATTAACCATATTGACTTCGTTTGGAATGCGTTTGTATATTAATTTAATAATGAGTGTGGTAATAAGTCTGTTTTTATATTCTTAATATTGTAATAGAAAATTAGTTTTTTTTTTTATTTTGAACCATTAACAACAATACTTTTTAAATCATCGGAGTCTGTTCAGGATAAGTTCCAATAGCATTTATTGTACTGATAGTATTTTTTTTATTTTGTATATATTTATTTACATTATATTGTTTGTCAATATTACTAGTTTCATTTAAGCGATGTTGCCGATCTTATCTGTTTACTTGATACGAAATCGAGTAACGTAACGTAAAAAAAGCCTACTATTATTATTAATAAACAAACATATTTATATGCAAATATTTAAGCTCGACTATGTAATTCAAAATTATAGTTTATAAAACTGACCTTAATTGAATTAATGCACTATCTAAATGAATGCAAATCATATTGACACGGTGCCTTTACAAACAAATGATATAGTTTCCATAAATAATAGATGATGAAAATTTCCTGGTACCGAGGCAAGAATTCATTGCAACACAATTTTGTGAACAAATTCATGTAATACCTAATTGATTCTTAAAGAAACGAAAATAAAATGGGTTCAAATTTCGTAATTTTTACAGATTCTTTAGTAAAAATATAGTAATTTAT